CATCCCACAGTGGGGCTCAGACAAGTGTGAAGAGCAGCTTGAAGAGACCATAAAGAACTGCTTAACAGCCGCAGAAGACAAGAAGTTGAAGTCCGTGGCTTTCCCCCCGTTTCCCAGTGGCAGGTATGACTCTTTCTGCGTAGGAGGATTCTGTATCAGGTATAATTAGCTGTCAGGGAGCTGCTGTTGTGATTGGGAGATACCCGCTGGTCTGTGGGGCTGATCCTGCCTCCAGAGAGGGCTGTGGGAGGTGCTGTGTGACACCATGCTTCTCCAGATTAAAAGAGCTTGAAGTGCAGTGTTTGCATGGAATGACCAGAAAGCCCTCATATAGAGAAATTAGCTGACCCACACAAGAGCCGAGTGGAATTGCTGTGTTTTCTATTGCTAGGCAGTGATTTTCATTCTTCTATCTCAGTTTTTAGGTCTCTTCATTTTGCTGTGGTGAATTTTTTTAAAACCACATTTGTACTAATAAAAGCATACCAGCATAATACTGAAGGCAAGTAATGGTGATGCAGCCTGAGCTAGATAAATGTGGGGTCTTCACTTAAGTCATCCCGAGAATATAGATTAAACATAGTCACACGAAATGTTTTCTTTCAAAAGAAAATCAATGTTTCTCAAATATAGTTCTGTTTTAAAAAAGGAACTATGAAACCAACTGTGAAACTACATATTTCTTTCTCAATAATGAGCAAATAAAATATGCTTGACTAAGATGTCCACAGTATTTATCTTTTTTTCTTTTTTCTTTTTTTTTTTTAAACTGACAGTTTGTTAATCCTGCTTGGTCTCTGATCACAAGAAACCTTGCACAAGCCCTGCTAACTGGAGACGTTGTTCTTTTGTGTTGGAGTTGGCATGCTTATGTTTAATTTGAAACGTCACTACTGATTTTGTTAGCAATGCCCAAAGAGTACATAGTACCATCCAGTTGTGTTAGCCTGGTAGTGAATAAAATGGAAGTACAATTGCGTTTTGATCGGTGAAATCACCACGCATCACTGAATACACAGGAGGTGAAAATGCCATTTTTATACAGATACTTTTCAAGACAAAATAGTATTTTTATGGAGCAGGACAAAAGAATAAGTAGAGAGGCAGTGCAATTTTTAATGATTTTTCTTCCTTTATACACAGATCATTTGTTTATAGTGTTCAGTCAAAGTAAAATACGATAAATTGTTTTACCACTCAGTATTATTAAAGTTCAGCTTTTAAAAATTAACTGTAGCTTTTAATGCCAATAGAAATAGTCACTATAGACCACATGTCTCCTGTGAGCGTTATCTAAGAATAATCCAGTCTTGGAGCATTAGTCTTAGTGCAGATCCTTCTGCTGCTTAGTTCTATTTCACTCTCTGTTGCTCTTACAATTACTCCTGCTAACAGAAAATAGAGTAAGTCTTACCAGGTGCTGCTAGTTTACACTTGATTTATCAAAGGACCTCAAAGTTGTCTGAAAAAAGGCGGAGTTTTTCAAGTAAGACTTAATGATTTAGCTGTCGTTTTATTTCGTCTACATGTGTGCCCAAGAAATGCTGCATTTGTTGGGTAGATCAGGAATGATGCTGTATTGGTTCTGTGAATTTTCATCTTTCCTCTGTCCCATCTTAGGGACTGTTTACAGTAACTGATACAATGTAGTAATAGATGGGATATCTCACTTTTCACCTCTATGATCTTGTCATTAGAGAAATGCAGTTTAGATTAAATTATTTGTGCTGTGAAGCAGGTATAAATGAACTGAAAAACATTTTCAAAAAGTCCTTGCTGCCAGAAAGGCGTGTGAGCTTGGGTTGCTGCAGATGCTGTTCAGGGACTAAAAGTAGGAAAATCTGTTTGCTAGTGATCATTTGGATTACAGTGGATATGGATACAGCAGTTGTTCATGACTAGTTTCCCAGCTCTTTTTTGGATGGTTTTTAATATAAATTTGATAAGTAGTCTGCTATCACTAATATGATGTTGAGTAAGGAGAAGTGAGTGGTACTAAACTTAGGGAGATAAAACCAAATGCACATGACAGTGCTATCAGAGAGGGGGGAAAAGAAAAAAGCCTGCAAAGGCAGCTCTGGATGCTATTAAAAGAAACACCATAATTTTTCAAGTGTAAGGATTGTTAGGCACTGGGATGGGTTATCTGTGTATTCTGATGTAGCCCATCACTGAAGATCTTTAAGTGTAGGTTAGACAAACTTTCTTCAGAAGCAGGAAGGTTATACGTAATCCTGCCTCAGAGGAAAGACATGGGCTAGGTTATGCTGGCCAATTTTTTTTTTGCATGAATCTAACTTCCTCAGGAGCATTAACATGCAGTGGAATCTAAATAGGAGGCATTAAACTCAAGAGCAGCCAGCAGAGTTAGTCCAAAGACCCATCTGAAATCTCAGCTGGGTCTTAACTCAGCTTCAGACAATTCAGCATGCCCCAGTAAAGTCTCATCTCCAAGGTACGTGGCTTCCTACGTGCTGATGTAACAAGAACTGCATTGACACTCTTCAGTGTTGTACAAAATCAGTAGAACTCTTGCAAGCATTGTCAGACAGCAGGGCAACTCCAGCAGGGAATGCAGGAGAGTGTCCTTCCCTCCAGATGTCAGTGGCTGGCACAGATGTACTGCTTCGGGAAGGGATGCTTTCTAGGTCAAGGAATCTGTTTAGCGTTAGACAAGTAGAACAACGTGGAGACCTTCCTAAGCATGAGCATACTGCAAGGCAGAGTATTTAATTAGATAAGCATCAAGTTCAAAGTGTGGAACAGTTCTTGAAATTATGTCCAGTATTACAGCAGTCGTATTTTTATATAGAGATGCAAAGCAGCTGACCTTCATAGTAACTGTGCTCTTTGCGATGTGCTCTCAGCCCGTTCCCTTGTAGCGTGGAAATGAGGGTGAAGGAACTGTGTTGCAGCTGAATGGTTTTGTGACTTGAAAAGGAGCGTGAGAATGGTTATGATGGGGAAAAATGCTGCTGCCCAGAAACTTGAATCTCAAGGATGTGGGCCAGGTGACCCAAAGTTGAAGTCCACTTACTGTAAAGCCTAGTAGCTTTTAACTTTTCAGATTGTAGGTTAGAGAACACTACCATCAAAATGAACGAATGAATGTGTCTTGGCCTCCATTGGGCTTGGGGTCGTAATTTCAATTATTTCCACTGAAGTCTGAAGCAAAGTATTTTTAATGACAGGGTGAGGAAGTCAGCTAAGTAGTTGATGGTTTTTTGGTTGGGTTTTTTTTTTTTCCAATTTTCAACTTGAACTTTTTAGCCTGCCCAGTATAGCATGGAAAAGTTTAATTCTAAGGGAAAGTGTTAAAAAAATTTGTGTGTTGTGAAAAGTTGAAGCAAATAAAAACAGTAACTATGCCAGCAAGGAAACTTAATACAGCAGCAGATGAATATTGCTATCAAAACCTTGGGGTTTGCTTCTGGGATTTACAATTGCAAACTGCAACTGGCACTACCTTAACAGCAGCCGGTAGCTGGTACAGCTATGGCCTGTTCCTTTCAGCATGAGGCATGCATAATGCTTGCACAGGTGGCTGACACTCACTTGTTCTGTTTTCTTCCCCTACCACATAGAAACTGCTTCCCAAAACAGACGGCAGCCCAGGTGACTCTAAGAGCTATTTCCACGCATTTTGACGGCACCAGCTCTTCCTCCTTGAAGAACATTTACTTTCTGCTCTTCGACAGTGAAAGTATTGGCATCTATGTGCAAGAAATGGCCAAGCTAGACACTAAGTAGCCACGGCAGCCAAATGAAACTTTATTTTTCAACAAACTTGAGTAGCATTAAAAGCATTAGAGGTGGGTTTTATTTTTTCAATGTGATGAGGAGGGGGAGTGGTAGTAGTGTGATGTGTTGTGACTTGATGAAGAGCTGTGACTAGAGATGAGAGGGGTTTAGTCCGATTTCTTCATGCTATCAGCATCCTCTAGCCATTTATATCACCTTAAGCAATTGAGTTACCATCTCTTTTCAGGAGTTTTAGTGTCCCTTGTTACTTTAGTTTAGAAGTTTTTAAAGAGTAACCTCATTTTAGATTTGTAGTGATGAATTTTTCACGCGCACACACACACACACTTTAAAGAAAGCTCTTAAAAATGTTCTGCTCCCTTTTCCCCTCCCTTGAGGGTGGATGGTAAACTTCTGCCTCCAGCCCATGGAAAGGGGAAAAGGATTTTAGAAGTGATGCATGAGGAGCTTCTGTTTTGCTTTTAACTCACAATAATCTCTGTAATTACTGAGAATATTTCATGGTGATTTTGTTTGTTTTATAAGAAAAAAAGAAAAAGATGTGTCAAGTGTGGTTATTATTATAAACCCTACTTTTGCTCTGGGAATTTCTCACCTTAAAAAGAAAAACGCAAAAATCCCAAGAAAAAAGCAGCAGCATCTGTAATTAAGTGCTTGCTGTATCACACTTAGAGCACTGTTAGCTGGTTAGTTGTGTGCTGAGTAACGTGATTAAAGCTGCTGTGGAGATGTTGACACAAAGCTGTATTATATTCCATTAAGTTCCAGGATTACCATAGCCTGTTCAAGGCTTTAGGCAGGCTTTCCCGAGGCAGTGCTGTGAGCCGTTCTTCCCGCATGCTGCAGAGCAGATTCCAGATCTGTAAGAGGCAGGTACTTTTAGAAGAGCAAGAGTAGAGAAGGCCAGGAAAAAAACCCCACATAACAAACAAACCACAGAGATTTTGAAAACCACAGTGTTTATTGTTACAAATCAAGGTAAACCAACTTTCTTGCTCAGAGCTATCTCAACAGGGAAATAAAAGAAACATTCCTTCCCTGGTTTTTATCTTGAGAACTTCACTGCACTTCATTTGGAAAGTACCTCCTTCCCCTTTACAGCAAGGCAGGGCAGCATGCTGACAGGTGGCTTTAGGAGGTGCTGCCAGAGACAGTATCAGTCTGTCCAAGCAATAACAACTCACCCTCACTCTCTTCCAGTTGCTGTATTCCTTGCTGGTTTGTTACTGATTCCCCTCTTAAGAGGGCATTGTCTGGCCCATCGTCTTCCAGCTCTTGGAGACAAACAGGTCCTGGCTCTTAGCAATGGTTACCAAGAGACGTCCCACATAGTAACCGTTCACCTGGCCTACACCATCATTCCTGCCCATTGAAAGCAGGAAT